CACAGGTGAAACAGCAGAAATGTTGCTCTACAGAAGGATGCTGAGAATACTATGGACTAGACATGTGAGAAACGGCGAAGTTTTAGAGAATTTGTATAAAAAATGGACATTTATTCTTAGAATCAGAAAAGAGACACTTGAAATTTACAAGACGCATAACGAGGAAAGACGACTTGGAAAATTTAACACTCACAATACATGGAGGCAAGAGTGACAGAGAAAAGCACGCAAAACCTGCTTAACGAGCTTGGGTAAATGGATGCCAGAGCGGGGATTAGGAGATATATAAAAAAACAACTGTTAAGAGTTATAAAAACAGGTTGTGGAGAGCTAAGATCGTCAACGGCCTGAAGGGACACGGCACTTGGAAGAGAAGTATGGGAGATTTGTAAAACCGCACTTTTAAGAATTATCAGAAATTTCCGTTATGGATTTCCTGGGGAGTTCAAGGGAATCGTAAATACCGTGAATGACTTTGATCCGTACGGGAATCACGATTTTAGGTATTACCCCCTTTTACCGATTACCTAGGGCTGGTTAGAAGTAAGGTGTAAGCGAAAAAGAAGCGCCCACGTTGATTGCACTAATTTGTGATTGATATTGATTGATATATGACAAATAAGCGAGAATGACCTCTTTGAAAAAAGTCACTAATTCTGGGTTGAGATCAGAGCAAAAAGTTTTCCAGTTAACCAGTAACATTAAGCAACCAGAAGGTTTAATATTTTGGTCTTTTACGGATACTAGTTCTATTATCGAAAAGACGAAACTATTTAAACTTATTTGGTTAATTGGGAAATTATAGATATTAGTTCAATTGTCAAAGAAAGCGGCGGGAATTTTTATAGAGATTCTGGCAGACTTCGATGATTTCGGCACTGACAAATTTACAGACCTAAATGAAATACTGTGTGTCCATAAAGTTCATGTGCACTTTAAAAAATTATAACTTTATTTGTATTTGCGATAGAAATAATTTGTAAAAAGGATTAGAAAGAAGTAAATCTATATTTTTTAAGGTTTTATTGAAATTTTATTTAAGTTTCTACATGTCCTCCATCATTAGCAGTTCAAAGTGTAATACGATTTTGCAGTTCACGAAAAACATTTGCCAACTGATTTACAGTAATGCCTGAAATCCCATTAGTTATTTTAGCTATACTTAAAACTAGGTACATTAAACTTTATAACGTTTTTTACAGATTATTTCTATCGCAAATACAAATAAAGTTCTAAAGTTTTTAAAGTGCACACGAACTTTATATCACCTCAGTTATATACATATAACTGAGGTGATATACCGGAAGACCTGTGGAGATCATAGCATTGCTTAAGAAGTTAGGTACCAACGAATGTGTACACCATCGAACAATGAGCCATATATTAAAACCTATCACCCGAATTCGAGCGCGTAAAAAAAATCAAACCGGAAATAAGACGACATTGGAACAAGAAAAGAGATATCTATGGTCAGAGAGAGAGAGAGAGAGAGAGAGAGAGAGAGAGAGAGAGAGAGAAAACTTATTCAGCCTATACATCGAGGCGATTCTGAGAGAATTTTAAATACTATCAGGATTCATTATTGGTGGGCGCAAACTTAATAGCATAAGATATGCAAATGGCACAGTACTGGTGAGAGACACAGTGATGAAACTGCAAGAACTCCTTCAGAGGTTAATGAAAGAAAGGGAGAAGAAACGACTAACAAAAATTGCAAGAAGACGGCATATATTCATTCATTTTTTTTCATTCATTTTCTCATTAAACCAAAGTAGTGTCTTTGATATGTTTTGTTTATCTAAACGGTATAGGCTATTTTTATCAGGTGTTGGCAGGAGGCGTTAAACATATCTTTCTTTCTTTTTTCTTTATTTTTTTTATTGAAACAAGAAGTGTCTTTTCTCCTCTTTCCACGTGATCAAATGGAATATTTATTTATGAGATATTCGCAATAGACTTTAAATACGTCCTTCTTTCTTTTTTTCTTTTTTTCTTTCTTTCTTTCTTTCTTTCTTTGAAACCAAGTAGTGTATTTTACCCCTCTTTCCACGTGATCAAAACGGAATATTTATTTATGAGATATTCGCAATAGACTTTAAATACTTCTTTCTTTCTTTCTTTCTTTCTTTGAAACCAAGTAGTGTATTTTACCCCTCTTTCCACGTGATCAAAACGGAATATTTATTTATGAGATATTCGCAATAGACTTTAAATACTTCCTTCTTTGTTTGTTTGTCTGTTTGTTTGTTTGTCTGTTTGTTTGTTTGTTTCTTTCTTTGAAACCAAGTAGTGTATTTTACCCATCTTTCCACGTGATCAAAACCATTATTTATGAAGTATTGGCAGGGCGTAACGGTCGTGTGAATTAACGAAGGGATGTACATGCACAATTATAATAGAATAATAAATAATAAAAAAAATGTCAGGTTTGGCATCTCCCTTGATAAAAGCAGGTCAAAATGAATTGGTGAAACCAGTCTAGTCTTTTTCAGCTCGGCGTCTTCGATATTCAGTTAATGCTAATCACCTAGAATCGTATTATGCAACAAAGATTAATGATTTACTTAGCTCTATTTAAAGCCAAGCAACGCTTATTAACCTTGCTAGTTGGAATTCAAAGAAGGAAAAAAGTAGTATTGAAAATATACGCTCAAGACTGCGGATCAAGAAGAGAGATAAAACGAACAGAAAAGAGAATGTAGTTCTCAAAAGCAGATAAATGAAGAAAACAGACGAGAAAGGAATAAACGCCATAACAAGAAAGAATCAGAAGAAAATCAAAGAAAGGAGGAGGTGACGAGAAATAAGTAGGAGGAGAAGGGAACGGAGGAAAAGTGAATCGTGAAGATAACGTAAAAAGAAAAGAGAAAAAGGAGAAAGGAAAGAAAGAAAAAAGAGAATAGGGAAGGTAAAAGGAAAGGAGGAAGAGAAAGAAGGGTGAAAAATGGAAAGTAGGAGAAAAAACGAGAAAGAAGATAATTGCAAAGTAAGAGAAGAAAAGAATTAAGTTGAAAAAAGAAATTAAATGTAAAGAAGACGAAGGAGAAGGAGGGAAGATGAGAAAAATATATTGAAGAAGAAAGGAAAGGAGTAGTAGGAGGAGAATATATTGCGGTGTTGAGAAGAGAAAGGAAGAGGAGATTTGAATGAAGGAGAAATGAAAGGAGGAGAGGAAAAGAATGAAGAAGGATGAGAGATCAATAAAAGAGAAAGGAGGAGGAAAAGAGGAAAGGGAAGTTGAAGAAATGAAAGGAAGAGAATACTGAAGGGAGAAAAGAAAACCAGAATGGTGAAAGAGAAGGTAAAAGAAGAGGAGGCGGAGGGTAAGGCGGAGGAGGAGAGGACATAAGGAAAAAAAAAGAGAAAGGAAAAGAAGAGAATGGAAAAAGATAAGAGAAAGGAAGTGGACGAGAGAAAAGAAGAGGAGAAGCGGAAGGAAGACAGAGGAGAGAAAAGAAGAAAAAAGAGAATGAGGAGGAACGAGAGATTATAGAAAAGAACTGGAGAAGATAATGCAAGAAGAAGAAGAAGAAGAAGAAGAAGAAGAAGAAGAAGAAGAAGAAGAAGAAGAAGAAGGAAGAGGAGGAGGAGTAGAAAAGTAAAAAAAGTAGAAATGAAAAGGAAGGGAAGAGGAAAGAAATAAAGAAGTAAAAGGTGGAGGAGAAATAAAGAAGGGGAGGAGAATTGCTAAAGTAAATCAAAGGGTGAAAAGGTGAAGCGCTGGCCCTGTGGGAGGGGGTTACTGCTTGCCTTCGGAGTCGACTGCTACCGAGAAACAAGTCGTATTCAACTGCGCCAATCGATCGAGTCACATCTTTTTCATGGACCCCGAAACTCGTATCACCGCCCATCAAAGCATCTGACCCACCCGTTGCACACCAGGAGTGCGCTATCTTTTGGCCAGACTTGGAAGTAGGATCAATACCAACATTTCCTCACTTGACAGGAGAGTGCATCTCTACTCCAAATGAACTCTTACTGAACTTCCCACGCTGTGCGTCTGATTTCTTTGTACGAAGGGGTGCCGAAAAGTTATTGACCTGACACACATTCCAAAATCAACATTCTGACGTTGGGTCATTGATTTAGAGTAGTGGGTCGGGGTGAGAAAATTTTCAGCACCACTCGTATATTTTTTACTACGATTCACTTCATTTGGCATGATCTCAAATAAATAGGACAATGGTGTTGCACCAATCCCCGACTTATTGTTTTAAATAAATACGTCTTTACATTTCGACATTTATTTATAGATCTATCTTTCTACAAATGAAAGCTGAGAATATCATAAATTGTATTATGCTTCATCTGGGAAGTGTCATAACAGACGATGGAAAATGTGACGCAAAAATCCCAAAGATGCCTTCCAAAATTAAACAAAGTAATAAGAAATAGGAAATATTTTTTTTTATTCGTTCGATTTCTACGTCTTATCAACCTTTTGCAGATTATTTAAAGCCAGAAAATATTTTTAAATTGTAAGAATTCTTTTGGGATAATAATGGTTTAGTGATACTTACTAATTAACCCATAGTTGGGGGGAGAAGAGGTAAATTCATACCTAATCAGAATTTGATAAACAGACAAGAAATTCTAATGTGGTTATAAAGTGAGGGATCAATTCTATATTACAATCAGTATATAAACTGATCCCTTACTTTGTGGTCACATTAGTTTCTATACGTTTATATTTCAAAAAATGTAAATAAATCTAAAAGACAAGCCTGTGTAGCTAATCAGTATTTCATGGATTCGTTTTTTACGGCTTATCAAACCTTTGCAGGTTAGTAAGAAAATATTTTGGATTCTAAGAAGTTTTCTTGAGATAATAATGGTTTAGTGATACAAATCTTACTAATTAACCCATAACTGGGGGAAGAAGAGTATTCATACTTTTCCCAAGAGTATTTGCGCGTAAGTGAATATAACGAACCCAACTGGAATTGGAACTCGGCTAACAATTCCGAGCCATTATCCATTACGCCACTTGCACATCCAAGCTTACAGCACCTGGCATTTCCTCGCGGTCACCCATCTTGGTACTGATTAGGTTCAACGTTGCTTAACTTCGGTGATCGTATGGGAACCGGTGATGCGGCGGTAAACCTAAATAGAAAAATCTCCTAAGAACGAAAGAATTAAATGCTGAACTGCTATGTAATATCATTCCTCCTATATGGTAGTAAGTCGCAGATGAACTGGAGACTTGAAGCAATAGAGATGTAGTTCTACAGAAGGATACTGAGAATAACACCTGCAACGAGGACATTTAAGGGAATGGAATAAAATGAATGACGATTATACATAAAATCAGAGTTGAAATTTCTAGGACAAGAAAAAGAAGGCATGGAAAATTTGATATTTACCCGACGAAGGCAAGAAAGGTAGACGGAATCCTAGAGTAACCTACCTTCCTGAGCATGTATACATAGATGTCAGAACAGGGACTGGTAGAGATCATAAGGAGACAAACATTGCTTAGAGCTATAAAGGATATAAAGTTGGAGAGAACATTGATTTCTCACGTCTTGAAGGAACACGGCACACATCTATCTATCTATCTATCTATCTATCTATCTATCTATCTATCTATCTATCTTAGTCTGTACATAGGAGATGATGTAGGAAAGTTCTAGAACTCGGATCGGTAGAGAAAATGCTTAGAAAGAAAGAATACTGGAAATGTGCTAGAAAAGAAGAATAAAGAAAGAAAAGTAAGTAAGAAAGAAAAGAAAGAAACAATAAAGAAAAGAAAGTAAGTAAAAAGAAAATAAAGAAAGAAAAGAAAGAGAAAATAAAGAAAAAAGAAGAAAAAAACGAAAGAAAAGAAAGAAAAGGAAGTAAGAAAGAAAAAGAGAAAAAATAAAGAAAGAAAAGAAAGAAAAAAGAAAATAAAGAAAATAAAGAACAAAGAAAAAGAAATAAAGAAACTAAAGAAAGAAAGAAAAAGAAAGAAAGAAAAAGAAAGATAAAAATAAATAAATAAATAAAGAAAGAAAGAAAGAAAGAAAAGAAAACAACTCATTGCGCCTTCTCGTTTTCCATAGACATGGAATGGAACGATTATATATAATCATTTCACCCCAAGTAAGGCGTGAATGCCACTAGTACTCAGGGGATTACAGAGAGTGAAAGTGAGAGAAAAGACTGAGTATAGCGAAGATTGAGGAAAGGCTAAAAAATGAACCGGGTTCAAGACGACAGAAGATGACGATCGACGTTGCATTTAAATTTTTGAGGATTGTAATTTTTAGGGAAGCAAGTAAACGGAAGTGAGTTCCGCCGACGGGAAGTGAGAGAAAAGAAATTGTTGGAGTAGAAGTGGCAGTTACGTTTAACTATTTCAACAGTAAAATGGTGGGACCTAGATGCCAATCTAGTCGCACGCTTAAATTCATGCAGTCGGGGCACCAAGGAAAAAAACCTGTCAGAGCAGTAGCCATGGAAATATTTGTAGAAAAGACAGAGGGAAGCCACATAACGTCGGTGAGAAAGTCGAGATGCCAAGTCAGCATCGATAACACTGCAGATCTTTCTCTGGATATTGTCAAGAACCTCTAGTTGAACAACAGGGGCTCCAGACCAGATATGGCAACAGTATTCAATGCAGGATCATCTGCCTGTCTGAATTCTGCTCTTTTATTGATATTTCGACTAACGTTTTCTCACTTTTTCACACAATAATCCTTTGCGTCTTAGCGGCGTTAACATCTTGCTTGGGGAGAAATGATTAATATATATATATATATATATATATATATATATATATGAAAAGATAGGTAAATTTGTAAATGTGTAAAATGGATTCTGACGAGAAAAACCTGGCACGACTCCAAACTTTCCTTGCAGTAGATACAGTTATTGATTCAATGTAGTTGATTTCAAGTCAGTGGAAAACGTGAGGTCTACAAGGCGCAGTGTGACGATCTCACTGAGTCGAGAATCAGTCATGCTGCTGGCAGGCAAGGAAGTTTCTCTGTGCTGGTTAAATGGGAGCAGTTTCGCTTTGGAGGTATTAAAATTTACAAGCCATTTATTGTTCCGGATAACCACTGATTGGAGGTCCTTTTCAAGAGCAGCGACCAGGTTTACTTTGTCAGATCCAACGGATTTGCTGTTGAGACAGGAGTAAATGGTAGTGTCATCTGCATAAATGCCTATTTGGGAAATGATGAGATCATTGATGAAGGTCAGAAATGACGTAGGACCCAGGATAGAGCTTTGGAAGACACCTGCATTCGTGTGAAAGGATCTGGAAGCGAGCGCGTTCAGAACGACTATCATTTCACGATTTGATGTGATTGAAACTTTTGCTTGGTATGTTTCTAGGGAAGTTGGTTTGCTATGTTGTACCTGGCAGTTATTCTAATCAGAATCTATCTTGTATGCTCTGTAGAGTTACCATTTTTATGTGCATTGAATATTGCTGACACATCTGGTCTGATGCTCCTGTTATATATCTCGAGATTCTTGGTGAAACCCAAAGAAGAAACTGCCATGTTATCTTTGGTAACTCAATCTCAGGAAATTAAGGGTATTTTGACTAGATTGGCAACTAGGTCTCATCACGTTATTGTTGAAACAGCTAGATGTTACCGTAAGTTCCATTTCTCCACTTCTCGCCTATGGGTCTCCCTTCCGATTTTTCGCTTCCCTATCAACTACGAGCTTCAAAAATCTAACCTCGTCATCTTCTGCCAGTCTGAATTCTGCTGTTTTATTGATTTTTCTACTAACGTTTTCTTCCTTTTTTCCACACAATAATCCTTTGCGTCTTAGCGACGTGAACACCTTGCTTGGGGAGAAATGATTAATATATATATTATTTTTTGTGAAAAATTCTCGGATATTATGGTCGGTAAATGTTGTTTAATACTGTTTATTATAAACAGAGCATGACTTAAATATTTGTATCTATAAAAAGAATGTATAAATATAAAAATGTCTTAAAACAATTGTCGGACTTTGTCCATTTCATAATGTATGACGTCATATATATATATATATATATATATATATATATATATATATATATATATATATAAAAAGACAAGAGGAAAACTATTCTTGTCTTTTTATTCATTTTGTTCCTTTACAGATAAACTCTCTCTAAAAATAATCTAAACACACACACACACACACACACACACACACACACACACACACACACACACACATATATATATATATATATATATATATATATATATATATATATATATGTTACGAAAACATTCCAACGAGTGCGCAGGATCGCCTGATGTTATGACTTGGGGTCATGACAAGTTTCGGGTCTTGCAACATCATTTTTGTTCGCCCAAGAGACCCTACCGAAACTACTTATTCCGGCAGGCGATCCTGAAGCAAAAATCCGCCAAGCACACAACAAATGGACACATTATGTAACTGCCACTGCCAATCTTGAAAACAAAAACGACCAATCAGTAACGACCTACGCCACTTCCTCCTCAGCCAAGACGATCCAAAAAGAGAATAGACAGCATGCTCGTCTTTTTTTTCCATCTTAGGTCCAACACATGGAAAGACCCACATTCTCAACGAACAGTTTGACATAATAGGCATATATATATATATATATATATATATATATATATATATATATATATATATATATATATATGGACATTAAAGTCAACATATGCAATCGTCAGGCCACGATTGCATATAGCATGAAACAGACTGTCGCCTCTAAGTGTTGACTTCTATGTTCACTTTTATATTTACACACGCATTATCTCTGATATCGAGCACTTTATCCCATAAATATAGCACACCTTAAGACTATATTTCTTCATATATATATATATATATATATATATATATATATCGTAAATAAAATAAAATGTTCACCTTACCTTCCCTAATCTGAGTTTGGCAGAAATGATATCGCTTTTTAGGGTGTTATATAATAAATAGTGTTTATTTAAAGATTTCATAGGATTTTTAAAAGACGATACTTAAATTTCTGTAAAAAGTCGTTAAGTTTTAACGTTTAACGTTAATGTTTTTATTAAATTAATAACTTGCTTTTGAAATTATATAATATCATTAAATTTATACAATTTATTTTATGTCTACTGGCGATACCAATTTTTCAAGTTTCGGAATCAGGAAGATGAGTTTTCAATATTTTATTATATTCATTTTCTATAAATGCTATATTTCTTGATTTTGAACACTTTACACAAAAAGGACTATTTATCTTAAAAGCGTTATTCCCAGAAATACACCGGTTGACCGTCATGTTTATGATTATACAGGAAAAAAACTTTTGTGTTACCGGATGATCTAGCTATCCATTTATAACAAATCAAAAACAGTTGGCTGCTTTCAAAAAGACTTCTAAGAGACAAAAGAACGTTCTAGACTTTTTCTATTTAAATGTAATAGCAATAACAAAACGGATCTGGATTATTATTTTTTTTTTTTTCGAGAAAGCATAATAGAGGTCGTATGGTTGAACAAAAACTGATTTTTGGAGCAATTGAATGAAACTCGAGAGAACTCAATTCGTTGAATTTGTTCCTAACCGGGTCTCAAGAGATTCTCGATGAAAAAAAAAAAAAAAAAAAAAAGACGAATCCATTTAGACTCAACCAAAATAAATATTTAAATGAGAGCAGTTTCGTTTTGGAGGCATTACAATTTACAAGCCTTTTCCTGCCCCGGGTAAACAGTGATTGGAGGTCCTTTTCAAGAGCAGCGGTCAGCTCTGACCGATTTTCTATTGAGACAAGTGTAAATAATAGCGTCATCTGCATAAATGTCTATTTGGTAAATGATGAGATCATTGATGGAGGTCAGAAATAGCGTAGGACCCAGGATAGAGCCTTTTTCACACGAACGCGGGACACCCGCGTTCGTGTGAAAAGATCTGGAAGCGAGCCCGTTCCGAACGACTATCATTTTACGATTTGATGTGATTGAATCTTTTGCTTGGTTTGTTGCTAGGGAAGTTGGTTTACTGTGTCGTGCCTGGCAGTTATTCTAGTCAGAATTTATCTTGTATGTTTTATAGAGTTACCGTTTTTATGTGCATTGAATATTGCTGTCACATCTGGTCTTATGCTCCTCTTATATATCTCGAGATTCTTGGTGAAACCTAAAGAAGAATCTGCCATGTCATCTTTGGTGCCTCGAATAATGGACTTGGCCAATTAGTTTAAGGTGAGTTTCTAAGCGTAACTCATATGTAGCACAAAGCCGAATGTGTGGAGCACCCAGTAAGGATCGAACTCATTATTCAATCAAAATTGATCTAGTGAGACAAGCTTGCTAATCATTATACCACGTCGAGGTTGCCTTGGCCAATTAGATTATAATTACACAATAGTTATACGAGGTCTGATCTAAAAGTATCGGGACTGTTGATATGGTAAGTCGATTGGCACAGATTGGCCTTGACCTCTGTCGCGCATACACGCTAACTTATAAGGTTCTCGCTCACTTTCGTTGTTTATAGTAGTGCTTGGAAGGAAAGTGTGTAGAGTGTGGTCGTCTCATCACACCACAGAGGCTCCCATCAGTGACGATTGCCTTGTACAGCAGTTTTGGCCAAATACACATTCCTCAGGTTCGGCAACTACCATATTCCACAGATCTCGCTCCTTGAAACGTTCCAAAAATCAAACCCCACTTGAAAGGAACAAAATTACAAGACCCTGAGGAAATACAAGAGAATACGACGAGGTAACTGCTCACTATCCTCCCCTCCCCACCAAAAAAGGAGTTCCAGGAATGTGTTCCTGGATAAAGTGTGTGGCTTCAGAAGGGGTCTACTTCGAAGGAGATTATATGCCGAATTGATATGTGTTATAGTTTTCTTTTTTTATAACACCAGTTGCAATACTCTGTAAATGTCAGCCTTTGCCAAAAGTACGAACATCAAGAGCAGGGAGAAAATTCTTACAATCATAGTTCTAACCTTTTCTGCAAGACATTTATGATCTCGTTCACATCGTTACTGCGCTAAGATTACACAAACAGATCATTTGATTGATGACAAGTTACTGCCACCGAGAGAATCAAGCAAAGTAGTCGCTTGTCATGTGTATTTTTGTGGATGTTCATGAGGGGGAAGTTGTTTGAAAATTTATGGTGTCGATAGCTAGAGGATTTGAAAAGACAAATGTGTTATGATTTGGTGTTTGTTGTTCATTGCATTAGAATTACCGATTGAGGACATCACTTTGTTTCTTACGAGAGTGCAATATCGAATTTTGGCAATTTTATCATTAAACGTAGATCGATATATTGTTATAGTATATATTAGTTAAATTATCATAGCAATAAAATAATATACCTAATTATATATAAATATTGTATGTTTGTATAAATTTTAAGCCTTCTCTTAAATGAAGAAAATGCTGCATGACCAGATAATCTACCTATCCACACACAAAGAATCGAAAACAGTTGGCTCCAGAAAAGGACATTTAGAAAACAGGATAGGAAGCGTTCTGACAGAGGACTGTAAATGTTATACCCAGCGGCCTTAAGCAAGTGGATGACACAACGTGGTCTGGGGGAGGTGGCAGAGAGAAGGAAATTGTTGAGAGCTGCAAGGGATACACGGAGGCGGAGAGCCATGATCGCCTACGTCCTGAAAGGACACGGCATATAGAAATAAAGTTTTAAAGAATACATCTGTGAGTATATATTCAGAGAAAATAAACACTTATATATTTGATCACAAATATTAAGGAAATGGACAAATTTTAAAGTCACAGTTTTGCGCATGCGTGGTTGGGCCCTTTACTAAACTCTTAGAAAAAACAGTTTAATCTCAAGAAAAGAAAACCGAAACCCGACCACAGTCATAGAATAAATGTGAACTCCACAATGCTTTCCTTAATTGTATAATATGAAAAAAAAAACCGAAAATAAAAATGTCTAACTTACCGTAGAAACAGCTTTTTCTGGTAAGTAATCCGGACAAAGATGTCCAGTCCCGTCTTTATCTCCTGAGGAAGCATCACCTGATTTTCGCCCGGGAATGTATTCGCCCTGGGTAGGAAAAACAAGCAAAAGCAAAAGTTATTATATATTTATATATATATATATATATATATATATATATATATATATATATATATATATATAAGGTGTAAAAAATTTCAGTTCAATACAATCAATTACTTCTAAAATAACATCACTCATGAAATATATATATAAGAAAAATGTTACGTAAGTGAGTTGTCGCCCTTGGTAATCTACACTCTTTAAGAATCACGTTACGAGCCAGAATATGTTGGCGCCAATTATAAAGAACGCTATACCGTTCTTTTACGCTCTCTTTTCTGCCCAGATCTGCCAGGTACAGGACGACAAAATCATCTCTGATTCTACCTGAACTTTGCTATTAGAGCCGCACTATATTCGTACGTAAACGAAACCATTCTACAACCACAAGAGACTTCAGTTAAGTGGACTTATATTGTTTCATTATAATATAGCCGAAAACAGAACATTTTGTTTGCAACAAGAACTATTATTTCTATAGTATTTGTATACATGAAATTCAAAAATATTCCTTTTTAACTTTCAATTATGTTACGTGTTCTTCCTGTATTGATATTATTTGCGGCTTAAATCGGCGTTATATATATATATATATATATATATATATATATATATATATATATATTTGTGTATTTAGGTAGCAATCATTTTTCATGCACATTTAATTGTATATGACAGGCAAAGTGCGTTAATTTAGTTTTTTTATACAATTTCTTATGTCATCTTATAATGTTTTCTTTTCAGTAGATAAATTATATAAAAACAAGAAAAAAACGTATTGATATAATTTATCTATCGAAAAGATAAAATATAATTTAAAACCTTTCTCTACGTTCTTCATTTCATACGTTTAATATTTAATAAATATTTATCGTATTGATTATATTGGTACCCTTTCGTTTGTCTTTGTTTTATTAACCAACCTATCTATTACGGAACGCATTCCAATACTTCTTCAGAAAGATTATATATATATATATAAATTTTCATAGAAAATATGCGTCCTCTGATTGGGCCACAGAGGAGCGTTCGGCTAGCAAGGTCGATTTTACTGTTTTTAAACACAATTTTCCATGATTTTCTCTCACGCATTTATATCTGCTCAATGCGTATCCAAATGTAAATAAATGACGTCATACATTATGAAATGGACGCACATTTTCAGCCCGGTAAATATTGTTAATACTGTTTATTATAAACATAGCATTTACTCAAATATTTGTATCTATAAAAAGAACGTATAAATATAAAAAATGTCTTAAATAATTGTCGGACTTTGTCCAATTCATAATGTATGACGTCATTTGTTTACATTTGGATACACATTGAGCAGATATGAATAAATGAGAGAAAATCATGGAGAATTTTGTTTAAAAACAGTAAAATCGACCTTGCTAACCGAAAGCTCCTCTGTGGCACAATCGGTTAAGGCACGTCAGGCTATATGACGGTTCCGTATAGGATACAAGTTCGATTCCTGTCGGAGGACGCATATTTTCTATGAAAATTTCTCAGAGAATCAGGCCGGTAAATGTTGTTAATACTGTTTATTATAAACAGAGCATTTACTTAAATATTTGTTTTTACAAAAAGAACGTATAGACATAAAAAATGTCTTATATAAGGATTAAATAAAAAAAAAACGGAATTTTTAAAAAAAGTACTCAATATTTAGAATATAATAGAACGTAAATAATTTTTTTTAACTTGAAAAGTTTACTAAATTAATACCCGTATTTGAATTATTTTTAATTCTTCTCCCGACGACGCCCGTCCTGGGTATGACGATAAACTACATCCGCATCCTGGATAAGATGATAAACTACGTCCAACAGCAAGGCCTCTTATCAGGTTTTGAGGAGAGTGGAAGCATCTCTTAATTGCTGGTGTTCCCAGGTCCACTCTGACCCGGGGTGGTTACACCTGTTAGAGTCCCAGCTATGGGCAAATAGTTAACCCTCAAACTGGGTTCAAAACACCATGAAAGTGTAAAAAATAGGTTTTAATACCAGAAATACCTTTTTTGTAAAAAAATATTACCAGCAATAAATTTTTGAAGAAAAATATTATTACCGGCAATACATTATTACCAGGAATACATTTTTGAAGAAAAAATATTACCAAAAATAAATTTTAGAAAGAAAAAAATGTTACCAAGAACAAAAATTTTGTTGGCATTAAATAATCCGTTGAGGTTGATATGCCACGAAACAAAACCAAAACCAACTACACAGTTTTGTGGTTCATTTATACTCTTGATTTTGATATATATAGATGTTGGAAATATATATATATATATATATATATATATATATATATATATATATATAAGTGGATAGACATAATATCCAGCGTCGATAGCATGACTCGGAGTTTCATCCAGACTTGCAATCTTCGGGTGCTGGACATCCACTTCATCGCATATTGAGAAAATATCCACTTTTCGATTATTAAGACCCATACCCCGCTTATTAATTTCGACCTTTCTGGCCTATTAAATGATTTTCCAACACTCCTTTTATTAAGACACTCCGTTTATGGCGTATTAAGAAAAATTCAAACTCCCCGATTGTTAAGACCTGCTTCAGTATTAAGCATCTAAGAATAATCATAGATTTTGAAAGAAACGTATCAAGAGTATTGTTGTGTACTTACTTTTGAACCTCGGCATTTCAATTTACAGACGAACTCCACAATCCCGAGTGCTATGGCCAATGCCAAGCCACAGATTAAGATATAAAAAACACCAGCTACATTACTTAGTGAAAGCGATCGTTTTTTTGAATCCTGTGAATAGAGAGAAAAAAAGAAAAGAAATGAATGAACGACAATATATTTACTTCAAACTTAAGAAAAAGAAGTCTTCACATTTGTATAAAAGAGTTTTGATTGATAATTTATAATTCTGAGCCAAAGGATTTTCGCGAATTACGTCTCGAATTCAAGTGTTTCAAGAAATTTACGTTGCAATGAAATAAAAAAAATACTTTTATATTTGTCTTTTTATTTATCTATTGTAGCTTGAGTTTAAACCGGACATAAATACGCACAAAATATTTAGCACAGAATTTAGGAAACTTTTCTCTATATATTCATATATACAGTTACAAAAATCTAATGAAACTTTTACGAATATTATTGTAGGTCGGAACACTAAAATCAAGCAGACTCGGAAGTTTAAATATCTGGGAAGCGTTCTGACAGAGGACGGTAAATGCGACACTGAGTTCTGGAGACGTATTGGGGTGGCGAAGGAATGCATTCCAAAAGTTGGGCAGAGTATTGTGAGACAGGAGGATTTCTTTGGAAACAATGAAAGGAATACTGTGCTGTTACGTGACATCTGTCCTTCTTTACAGCAGCGAATGTTGGACGATTTCTTCAAAGATGAAAAGACACGAGGCGACGGAGATGTGTTTCTACAGAAGGATGCTAAGGATATCATGGACCGAGCGTGTGAGCAACGATGAGGTCTTAGAGAAGATGCAGACAAGGAGGAGGCTTATACTTAACACCAGAAAGAGGCAGCTGAAGTTTCTGGGACACATAATGTGGAAAGAGGGCCTGGAGAATCTGATACTCGTGGGTCGAATAGAGGGAAAGAGAGACAAGGGAAAACAAAGCGTGAAATACCTGACGGACTTAAGCAATTGAATGACAGAACGTGGTCTAGGGGAGGAAGCAGAGGGAAGGAACTTTTTGAGATCTGCAAGGGATAGAGGGGGGTTGGAGAGCTATGATTGGCTACGTCCTGAAAGGACATGGCACATAAAAAGAAGAAGAAAGTAAATGACGTCGGGTTTAACTAGAAATATCGTTATTATTAATTTCATTTCAATTTGTTCATTACTGATGCTATTTTTATATAATATATAGGCAACACCGGATGGATTATAAAAACATCCGTTCTTTATTAAACAAAAATATGGAATATTCTACAATCCCTTAATTTATTTTTTTATTTATTAACTTTGCTACTATTCATTTAAACGTATTGGATAATCTCCTCATAGATGAGGAGGAGACATGAAGCAAGAAACATGTGCTTCTACAGAAAGATGCTGAGGGTATCATGAACCCAATATGTAAGCAACGACAAAGTTCTAGAGAAAATGGAAACAAAAAGGAAACTTATAGTTAACATCAGGAAGAGACAGCTGAAATGTCTAGAACACATAATGAAGAAAGAAGGCTTGAAGAATCCGATACTCACAGGGCAGATTGAAGGCAAGAGGGACAGAGAAAAGCAACGTGTAACGTACTTAGTGAGCTTGATTAAACGGATGGCGAAACAGGGTTTGGGAGAAATAACAAAGATATGAAATTTATTAAGAGCTATTTTTGTGTTGTCCTCCCTCTAAAGAGTCTATGTTGGACTATTCTGTCTACTATTAGAAAGAGAAAAGGCCCTGTGGGAACAGTCACCTAGATTGTTCATCTGTCGAACTCTCTGCCTCGGAAGAGAGGAACCAGGACGAGGCTTTGCCGCAGGGCAAAGTTTCGTCCGGGAAGGTAGACAGTCCCTGAACTCGTTTAGGCGGGTTCAAAGGGAATAGTTTTGGCCGAGCCTACGGGCTCGGAATACACACATTAAACCGGTCTTGTGCCACATACACCCTCGCTTCTGTTAAATATTAACAGTGCTAGACTGTTCATCTGTCGAACTATCTGCCTCGAGCAGAGAGGAACCTGGACGAGGCTTTGACAGTCCCTGAGGTAGACAGTCCCTGAACCCGTTTATGCGGGTTCTAACGGAATATATTTGGTCGAGCCTACGGACTCGGAGAACCCACGGTAAACTCGGTCTTGTGCCACATACATCCCTCGTGGCGGGAGGTGGGGCTGTTAAATATAATAGTAGTATAGATTGTTCTGCCGAGGCTGTGACAGTTCGCAGCTGCTGTCGAACTCTCTGCTTTTGGGCAGAGAGGAACCCGGACGAGGCTGTGCCGAAGGACAGAGTCTCGTCCGAGGAGGTAGACAGACCCGAACTCGTTTCTCCGGGTTTTATGGGGATTTTTTTGCCTGTGCCTACGGGTTCGAATGACCCACGTTAAACTCGGTTTTGTGCCATATACCCTCGTGGGTGGGCTAGTAAATATCAACAGTCGAATAGATTGAACGCTGGGTCAACCGACATACACTCACTAGTCGTGTAATACTCTTCTGTTGTACTTACTGTTTAATATATATCTGCAACCCTTGTTTTGTTATTTCTCTAACGATTTACTTGGTCACAACAGCTATAAAGGACAGGAAATTGCGGAGGGCCGTAATCGCCTACGTCCTGAAGGGACACGGCACATAGAAGAATAAGTAGTTGAATGACGTGGGGTGTATATTGAAAATGCTAATATAGTACAGTATCTGTACTGGTGGAACAAAAACTAACCTGGATGAGACGTAAATACACTAAGTGGGATGGCCACACGGTGCCCAAGCTCAGTTAACGGCGCATAACCGTTGATTAACATTACAAAATATTATTTTTTATGCATGCACAATAAGGTTACATTTTGTTGGTTAACAAGCAACATCAAGGCCACGATACCGATTCTGGAGATATTTAAAACGTCTAGTTATTTTCCAAAGAAAACTCGTTTATAAGAATAAATGCGTTGTCAGAACTTTTTGGAATTATTTAATTTTTATTGATGCTTATTTTATTGATCCCTTAATTTTTATAGTGCTTGTCACAACCACTGCAGCCATTATATTTTTCTATCTTCAAAGGAAATCGTGCAAATTTTTAACAAAGAAATAGGTTCGTAATATAAATCCATCTTGTATTATAGGGAGCTTTCTATACCATGTAGTAAAACTTATATCATCTTAGGTATTAGAACTGTTGATGAATCAATAGAGTAACAACTAAACGTTATTTCTATTAATAAGAAACATTACTTACATTGCCAGAGTCAAATCCACATTGGCCTTTCTCGTACCACCATTTCTGGTATAGCTTGTGAAGTGACCCCTCCTCTTTTAGTTCAAGAACAGCAAGAGTGACAGTATCTCTGCGAAAAAACAAACAAAAACAAATAAAAATAAATAAAACACAACAATAAAAAGAACAGGCATATTGTTTTTTTTTTGTTTCGCGGGATATCAACTCCTTCATGGGTCATTTAATACAGAAATTTAATTTTCTTGGATGCATTAGTAATTTCTTTTACAAAAATGTATTGTTCGTAATTTTTTTTACTATAAAAATGTGTTGCTTGTATCTATACTATAAACATGTATTTTTACAAATTCATAGTGTTTTGACCCCAGTTTGGAGGGTTAACTATTTGCTCATAGTTGGGACTCTAACAGGTGCTACCACCCCGGGTCAGTGTGGACCTGGGAACAACAGCAATTAAGAGGTGGTCCCACGCTCCTTAAAATCTCCGGTTAAGAGGCCTTGCTGCCGGATGTAGTTTATCGTCATACACACGACGCATCAAGAATATTGGCAGAATGTGTGCAAAATGAATAAACACGTAACTAAAAATAAACAAACAAATATATCTCAAAGATTAAAAAGAAAAAACCCCAAAAGAACGTCTAACTTCACATTTGTAAGCAGTATATCGAATTTGATAAATCAATAAATTGATAATTTTAAGTTATTTGAAATTCTTAGCTGGAGCATTTTCAATATTAATTTTAACTACTTTAAAACTTATTTTTATGGTGTGGCGTTATATCGTCATGCTTAGGCTGTTTTTTATATTATACGACTTAAAAAAATTAAATTAATAATTTTAATTTCTCTCTCTCTATCGTATTAAAATGCATGAAAAAAACTAATGTTTGTAGAAAAAAAAAACAGCATTAAGGATGACCCCAAACCTCCAAATAAACCAAAACCAAAACAACCCCCCACCTTCCCAAAAAACAATCAAAATTAATAGAACAATAAAAAACCTTCAACTTAGAAACAACTCGGGTTTATTTGTTCAATGTCATAGGTCTTCTATGCTAAAATTCAAATACCCTGCACGCAATCTTACAGCCATATAGTGATTTTCTATGCGGAGCTCAGACGTGGCACAAGGCCGAAAGTAAGGGGTACCCAGTGAGGATCGAACTCACTACTCAGATTGTAATTGTTCTAGCGAGAGAAGCTTGCTAACCATTACACCACCTCGAGGTGCCCAGCCATATATTTAGAACGCAAGCTCATACCTTCAACCACAGAAATCTTGCACCTAATTTAATCACACACGTTTTACCGTTATACAGCCTGTAGATGGGTATCTCGGCGTGGTGTAATGGTTAGCAAGCTTGTCTCGTTAAAACAGACTGAATAGTGAGTTCGATCCTCACGGGGTACTCCGTTATTTCGGCCATGTGCCGCATCTAAGTTACGCTTAGAAGATCAATATACAGCCTGTGATGATCCCGTGTAGGTGCCGCACGTTTTGCTACAAACTCATCTCTCCAAGACAGGACACTATGTTGGCGGCCTCATTGTGGGGTTTTACCCTTTCTACAGACCCCACCGACAGAACGAGAATTTTAGGAATTCGGACCTTTAGAATTTTTCTATCGTGTTTGCAGGTTAAGGCGAGAAAAATTATAAATTTCCAAAAACTAAATTGCGTCGCTGATATTAGTTACAACAGGCATGTATAGAGGGAAAAAATAAAAGCAAATTACAAATCAAATAAAAAAAACAAACAAAAAAACAAAAAAAAAGGAAGGGAAGAGGGCAATAACGCTCACCGAATTGCGGAACCCTTTGGTGTTGCAATCCCAAAGCCTTTTGAGTCAAGAGTTCCACCGACCATCATTGTGTCGCAGGGCTTGCGATTATTTAGGTAGATGTTGCTCGAAGACTCCAGCAGGAAGGCATACTTTCCCTTTGAATTTCGGACCCTCTCAACTCCCTCTCGGATCGATTTAACGAACACGCTGGGGTTGGATGACATGAAGGCCCACATCCTTTGGTAGATTTCATTGTTGGAATCCTGAAAATATAAAGAATAGAATTTTTAAAAAAAAAAGAAAGAGAAAGTTCTGAATTTTTGAAGTGGAAGAAACGTCCTTCTGTCGAGGAGTCATGTGAATAACATAGAGAGAACATGTGAGTAACGAGGTTATTTTAATGAGAATAAAATCTATAAATAAATTATTGCTAACAATAAGAAAGAGACAGCTACAATATTGAAGACACATAATGAGAAAAGAAGACCAGGAGATTTTAACACTCACAAAAATACTGAAGGCAAGAGAATAAAGGGTGACAACAAATAAAATACTCGCTGAAGCTGTTTGGGTTAGGTTACAGAAGCTAATGATATATCAACTCTTATTATTTATTAAACATTAAATAAAATTACTATATCTTATATATGCCGTGTCCTTTCAGGACGGGGTCAATAATGGCTCTCCATAATTTCCTATCCTTTGTAGCTATTAACAAATTTTTGCCTTTTTGTTATTTCTCCTAAACACTGTTCCATCATCCATTTACTTAAGCTCACTAAATATGTTATGCGTTGTTTTCCTCTGTCTTTCTTGCCTTCAATCTTTCCTGTGCGTATCAGATTTTCCAGGCCTCTTTCCTCATTAGGTGGCCTAGAAACTTGAACTGTCTCTTCCTGATATTAAGTATAAGTGTACTTTTTGTTTTTATTTTCTCTAAAACTTCGTCGTTGCTCACATATTCGGTCCACGGTATCCTCAGCATCCTCCTGTAGAACCCCTATTTCTGTTGCTTCAGGTCTTTTCTTCATCTGTGAGGAAATTGTCCAACATTCACTGCCATATAAGAGGAATAATAGAACAATTCAGTACTCTTTTCTTTGTTTCTAACGAAGAATATGTTTCTTAATACTTTGCTTATAAGCACAATGAATCTCTATCTATAATAGGCAGGATGTGTGTGTGTGTGTGCCTGTTCCAAGTTAGCGGGAAGGCCAAAACCGACTTTGCATTTCCCAACTCCCATCGATAGTGGAAATAATCGATTTTTTCATGCTTCTACGGCAGTTTTAATGTAGTTTGCAGCCACTTTGTACTGGCCAGAGTGAGAGCCAATAGCTGACTGCCACGAATAGGCAGGAAGATTCTATTGGCCAGCGTGAGAGCCAACAGCTGACTGACACGAATGTTAACTAGCATGCTAGCATGCAAAAAATATCGATAGCTGCATTCGTTACAAGTGTGAAAAACTTAAATCTGCAAGGCACTTTACTCCAATTGGCCCATTCGCTTGCTTAAACTCAACGTTGATTCTGATTCCGCAGAACTGGGTTGGGTGTGAAAAAGTATTTGTTGTTAACATTCTTTTTTCATTTGGTTTTTCCAGTTACGAGTCCTTTTTTAAAGGTGATCGTTTTGTGTTCATTTTGTTTACTTCTTTTTCGTAACAGATTTAGTATAGAGCTTAGAAAAAATTCGCAGTGTGAGATAGGCAAGAAGTAAGGCATGTAGCAACATCAGCACAGCAAAGGGAACTCCTTTAAAGGCAAGGAAGGGCAAAAATATTTTAAGTCAAGTGATAGCGATTGCTGTATGAGTCGTATGATTTTTGAATCAAGCACGGGCAACGCCGGGCCATGCTGCTAGTAGATAGATAAAGGCCCGGTTAATATTTGAGTCCGAGGGTAGACATTGATTCAGTATATAATTGCGTAGAAAGCTATATATCCGTCCAGTTTACACTAGAGTAGAAAATCTTGATACAGGTCCGATTTACACTTGAGTCAAAAAAGTAGACATAGCTCCGTCTTACACAAGAGTTAGAAAGGTAGACATAGGAACGGTTTACACTTAGAGGTAGACAATTTTTAATCGTTTCACCTCAAGTAAGGCGATAATGTCACTAGGACGCTGGGGATTTACAAGGAGTGAAAGAGAATGAGAAGACCTTAGTGAAGAGAAGTGAAGAAAGCACAATAAAAGAACAGAGTTCAGGAAAACAGGAGATGGCGATTGACGTTGCGTTTAATTTTTTGAAGATTGTAGTTATCAGGGAAGCAAGAAATCGGAAGGGAGAGAAAGGGAAAGAGAGAGTAGGAAGAAAAGTGGGGACATGGAAAGAGAAAGGGAGAGAAGTGAAGAGAGAGATAGAGAGTTGGGGAGAGAGGTGGAGCAAGGATGAGAAAAGGAGAGCGAAGGAAAGAGGTGGATAGGGAGCATGAAAAAGAGAGAGTGAGAGAGTTGGGGAGAGAGGTAGAGCAAGGGTGAGAAAAAGAGAGCGAAGGAAAGAGAGGTGGATAGGGAGCATGAAAAAAGAGAGAGTGAGAGAGGAAAAGAGAAAAAGGCAAAGAGTGTGGAGATGAAAATAGAGCGAGGGAGAGAGAATGAAGGTAGAGTGAGAGAGAGAGAGAGAGAGAGTCAGGTAAAGTGAAGGGAAGGGAAAAGAAAGGGAAGAGTTAACAGAGGGAATGGAGCGAGAGGGAAAGAAAGAAAAGTAGAGTGAGGTAAAACGGAGAAGAGAGAGTGATGTGAAGCAAAAGAAGAGAGTAAAACAGAGCAAGAAAGGGAAAAGAGAGGTCAAGATAGAAAAAGAGGGCAAGATAGAGAGAGAGAGAGAGAGAGAAGGAAAGGTGGGAAATAGACTTAGAGAGGGAGAAGGATAGAGGGATAGAGATCAGCAAATGAGATAAAGCGAGAATACAAAACAGGTGCAGCCGGACAAAGGACGCTGGCGCTTAATCATGGCGGTCGGCGAGAAACTTTCTCTGCATCTAAGACAATCGAACCACGAGTTTATTGGATGTAAAAGAACGCTTTCACGATAATTAGCGATAACGTTCGCATTTAATTAAGAAGAAGGGAAAAAAAACGAGTTTTCGTCCCGAGAAAAACGAAGTCGACATGTTAATTAACTGTGCTCTTAATTACATTATTCCAAGTCTTAATTTCGTAGAAAAAAAACAAACTCTCATATTTACTAAGTATTTGCTTAGTACGGAACAAAGCGGTATAGAGATGGGAAGATTGTGTTGCACCAATGTACTGAGTAAGAAAAGTCTGTCTACCTTGAAATGCAGCATTCTGTGCGGTGTCAACGGAGAGAAAAGTTGAACTATTTCAATGCCACATTCATATTCCCAATAGAAGCTTTAGAGAAATTCTTAAAAGAAATTATGTGTAGGATCTATAGCAAAAGTTACACATATTCAGCATGTTAGTTCTTCATCAAAAATTATTTTAATTCATGTGCTTGTAAAATCAGACACAACTAGGTACCATTGTTAATGAAAATTAACCATTATTAACCATTATTTTAAAAAAATCCGTTATCCTCTTTGATTTTATTGCAGATATTTTTCAAAGATAATCTTGAAAACAAAATACGGAAATTGTTTTGGGACAATCTTTCTAGTCCAAAGGTTCTTGCCTGCGCTAAAAATCGGCAATTTCGACTATTCTCCCGCCCTGTAGTTTCGAACATTACCCTACACGCAAGCCACCAATCTGCCATTGGGTGGCATGCCACTAGCGTTTACCGCTGGCAAACCGCTGTCGGACCGCCGGCGTGTTCGTCTCGGCAATGTTACTACTGGTGGACCGCTAGAGACTCACCGGTGGTCCTCTGGTGGCTGCCAGCCACCAGCGGGCCACTGGCGGCTTTCGTGTAGGGTAGCACTAGCTCGAAATCTACCATTACATCAGTCACGAATCAGTCCAAATAGAATGATTTAATAAACCTAATCGGGCAGAAAGACCGTAATAAGGCTCAAATTCTTTTGAAGGCGGGAGTGAATGCACGATCATTTAGGATCCAAAGAAGCTTTATCTAATAACAAAAAACACAGAACTTGAATGCTTCCAACAGCAATAACAAAGAAAAAAAAAAAAAAGAAAAAAGAAAAAAAAAAAGAAAAAAGAAAAAAAAAAAGAAAAAAAAGAGCCTTGTGGACCGAATAAGAAAAAAAGATCTGTACTAAATAAAAGAAAGCCCATCACTTGAAGACTTTCAACAGCAGCAACAGCTAAAATGGATAGCACACGTAACTCGAAGAGAAATTAAAGTTTTAAGCAAAATGCTGGCGTTCCACACTACGTCAAATAAAAAGGTTAGGAAGGAACCCCCCATCGATACTGGAAAGAGCGATAACAGCTACTGGACTGGGGGAACTTATTTTCATGAAAAAAGTTTTTTAAGAGAAAGATTTTATAAATTTCACACGACAGCAGTACAAGCTGGTCGGTCAATGAATGACGAATGTTTCCTTATAAGGAAACGGCTAATATTACGATTACCATTAAACAAAAAGTACGGAAGGAAATCCTATCAGTATTAGAAAGAGTGCTAACAGTTAGTGGACTTTAGAATTCTACTTACCTGAAAAAACTGTTTCAATAAATGATTTTATAATTTTTCCACCGACGCCCACACTAATTTTCATCTAATGAATGCTTCATGTTTCTTATATGAAAATGGTTAATTTCACTATTACCACTATAAACAGTTGCATTAGAGTAAGAACGCCATATATTACATTTCATTTAGTCTGGAATAAGGCTTTGAGTGAGAGGTATTCTGTGAGGGTCACTCTCAGTTGACGTATTTAATTTCTTCATTTCATGTTTCTGTACTCCCTTCTCTGTTTTCATTTCTCACCATTCTCTTCTCCACCCCCCACCTCATCTTCTATTTCTTTTTTCCTTCTCTTCCTCTTCACTCCTCCTCCTTTCTTTTCGCCACTACTCTTTCACTTATCTTACTTCAGCTCTTTCGTCCACATCTAGTCAACTTTTCTCAACTGCTTCTTCGTTCTTTGTCATTATTTTCTTTTTCATTTTCTTTTTCTCTTCATTTCTCTTCTCAATTGTATTCTTTCTTCCTTAAGTAGCCAGGACTTTACTCAGTATTCACTCAGAGTCCAACACATTAAGATACTCTTTTTCTGAAATTTACAATTCATTTAATATCGAATTTTTGGCAAGTTTTCAGATTCAGCTATTATTGCAG